TGCCGGCCTTCATAGGTTGCTACTCGCAAACGGCATTTGCCCCAAAAGTCTTTTGCAGGCTATACGGGAGGAGGAGGGGGGGATGGATCTTTGTCTTTGTATGAATCACCCACACGGGCCTCGAGCGGGTTGCCCTCGAAGCACGAGCGACGAGGCCGGCTCAAGGCATATTTGGGAATATGGTCCATACTCTTTGGTTCTTTTGGTAAAGTCACGTAGGTAGAGAAAGAATAGTTCACGACGTTTTGATCGCAACACAAACAATCGTCATCAGGTGGGACGAGATTAATACGGCCCTTTTTTTACTTCTCGCTCATGGTGCCGTGTCCGCGCTTGCAATGTGCTTTTCGCAACAATCGCGGTTCTACCAGCAGGGACCACTTTTCACACGATGCAGAACATGCGCTGCTGTTATAACGTGGTGAATGTGCTGCCGTTATAACGCGCTGCTGTTATAACGAGGAACACGCGCCGTTATAAGGCGAAATGTGCGCCGTTATAATGCGGAAACACATTCCTAATTTTTCAGGAACGCATCTACCGCGTTAAACGAGGACTCATCGTAGGCGGGACCCCCATGGGAAGCTACGTGGTGCTGAACCCTCAACGGGAAAAACAACCACATATCTCCTCTTCCTTCCTCCCTGCCGTTTATCTCGTGCATGTGTATGTATGTTGAACTTCTTTCGCACCGTATATAGCCAACCGTGCTAATTGGAGGTGCGGGGGAAGGGCAATAAACTGAACACAACCGTAAATCCCAGCAGAAACCACCTTTTTTTCTATCACAAAATACAATGTCACTATGTTTCACTGATGGTTATCAGTCGCTGGTGGCTTGTTTTCTTTTTTAGAAGTTACAATAGCAGGAAGCACCCGGTTCTGCCCGGGGAAAAATATATGTATATTTCTAAACTTGCCTTTTCTTAAGAAATACTAAGATTTTATGAAAGCCTGGCTTTCCGTTTGTCTGACCATTTGTCCGTCAACAAAAATATAAGAGCCTTTCCGAAGTCCTGAATCAAAAAGTTATAGAGAGTGAGGGGTAAAAAGTTGATCTAAAAGGTTTCAAAAAATTGTCAACCCCCCCCTACAAAAATGTTTTAACCCCCCCCCCCCCACCCAATTTATTTGTATTTTGTCGGCATATATACCTACACACTATGCAGTACATACAATAGAGGCAATAGTATCTACTGACTCTATAGTAGTATCTACTGACTCTACAGTAGTATCTACTGACTCTATAGTAGTATCTACTGACTCTACAGTAGTATCTACTGACTTTATAGTAGTATCTACTTACTCTACAGTAGTATCTAACGACTCTATAGTAGTAGCTACTGACTTTACAGTAGTATCTACTGACTCTATAGTAGTATCTACTGACTCTACAGTAGTATCTACTGACTCTATAGTAGTATCTACTGACTCTATAGTGGTATCTATTGACTCTACAGTAGTATCTACTGACTTTGTAGTAGTATCTACTGACTCTACAGTAGTATCTACTGACTCTACAGTAGTATCTACTGACTCCATGGTAGTATCTACTAACTCTATAGTAGGATCTACTGACTATAGTAGTATCTACTGACTCTATAGTGGTATCTACTAACTCTATAGTAGTAACTGCACACATTGGGGTGGAGGAGGAAGAGGACTTTACACTGTTCAGGATTTCCCTCAGCCTGTTCTTCTGCAGCAGTAACTGTCCAGTCTCTGGCTTGTATCAATGATGTCTGCTCTGTAGTTTCCTCAGCCCGTACTGCCTTCATTGATTGTTTGCCACTGAGACAGCCGCTACTCCTCCACTTTTTATTTTGCTTGACACAGTTCAATTATCTTTGTGTTTGTAATTGTCCTGGAGAGGCTTGATTTTTTTTCCTTTTTGGCCTTGTTTTTTTTTGCAAACATAATGACCAAGTCTTTAACGCAAGAAGACCTCCCTCCCGTCCTAGTCGCTCATCAACTTTGTTTGCGTTGCTAGGGGCATCCGCGAGTGGGCGTTCCACGCATGCGCAGATGCGCTCAATGGTGATCATTACGATCAGCCTACATTGTTAGAAAGTGTGATTTTCTTAGATTAGATTGGGCCAAGGGCAAAAACAAATACCAAGTGTTCATCCGGGGCCTTATTTTGTTGTATCTGTGTACTTTATTAAGACATTAACAAAATAGTTTGTCAGACAAAAGCGTTACAAGGAAGGCACATGCACATACACGCACGCACAGACAGAAACAAATGGCGTTTATAGGTAGGATATAAAAGAGCGCTCTTTATGAGTTAATCCAGCCATACCTGCAGGTCACCATGGGGCTTCGTACAGCTTTACGCCTGCCTACATTTGAAGGTTTTTGCTGGTTTTGCCAAATGTGATCTCTAGATGCCCTGCATGCCAACGGCCTTGGGGTTTTTCTCTTTCTTTTATTGGTCCGTTTATTTAGTTTAGTTTTTCTCTGATGCCTGGGAAAAAAACACATTGCCAACACTGGAATGCCCCCCCACCTACACACAAACTGAATAGGCCTGTGTTTCTCGAGAGACAATTATTTTGCGCCTTACGAAGTCAGCTGTGGGCTTTGCAGCGCCTAGAATGACTTAGTAGGCAAATCCGTGAATGGCAATCCTTGCCACAGCAATCGCAAGTGAATGCGGTGGCAGCTACAGCGGGGTTTGTTTCTTTTTCTTGACGTAGCAGGACTGGGCGACCGGTCGATCGTGTGCCTGATGCCAGCTCGCTGTACAAGACATCCTTGGGTATTCTGATATCCTGCATGCGGAACACATGTCCAGGCCATCTTAGGTGCCTTTGACCGAATAGAGAGTACATGCTGGGAATGTTGGCCATGTTGAGGACTGAGGTGTTGGAGATGCGATCTTCCCAGGACGCATGCCCAGTACCCCAGTACTTTGGTATTGAGCGTTAGGGATTTGTTCTCCCACACTCTTTTGGCCAACCTGAACATAGCTGTAGACGCCTTCCCAATGCACTTGCCAATCTCTGTGACAAGAGACAAATTGCAGGTGATGATGGAACCCAAGTAGGTGAACTTCTGAACAGCTGCCAATGTTTAGGGAAGGGGTGTCTCTGACATCCTGGCCCATGACATTGGTCTTTTTCAGACTGATTGTCAGGCCAAAGTTGTTGCAAGCATTGGCAAGGTGGTCGATGAGTTTCTGCATACCTTGTTCTGTGTGAGCTGTCAGCGTGGCAACATCAGCGAATAGAAGTTCTCTGATGAGGACTTTTGTTTTGAATCTGAGGTGGCCAAGGTTGAAGAGTTTGCCATCAGATCTTGAGAGGAGAAATACTCCATTTTCTGCTTTCCCAAAGGCATGTGTGAGCATAAGTGATAAAAAATATGGCAAAGAGTGTTGGGGCAAGCACGCTGCCCCTGCTTTACACCGCTGAGTATAGTAAATCACTCTGAGGTGGTGCCGCTGTGCTGTATTGTTCCCTGCATGTTGTCATGGAAAGAGGAGATGACTGCCAGCAGTTTGGGTGGGTAGCTGATCACTTTGAGGAGTTTGAAGAGGCCTTCCCTGCTGACGAGGTCAAAGGCCTTTGTTACATGAATAAATGCGAAGTACAGGGGCATTCTCTGTTCGCAACATTTCTCCTGTAGCTGATGCAAAGAGAACAGCATGTCAATGGTGGACCTTCCTGCTCTGAAGCCACACTGTGCCTCAGGATACGTCCTCTCAGCTAGTATATGCGACCTACTGAGGACAACACGGGCAAAGGTTTTCCCCACGATGCTCAGCAGGGAGATGTAGTCATTGCAGTCCCCATGGTCACCCTTGTTTTTGTATAGGGTAATGATGTTGGAGTCTCTCATGTCTTGAGGCACTGCTCCTTCTTCCCAGCACTGGCATGAGAAGTTCGTGGAGTTTCGTTAGAGTGGTGGGTTCCGCACAATTCAGTACCTCAGGTGTGATGTCGTCCTGTCCCAGGGACTTGCCGCTGGCTAGTGAGTTGATGGCGTTGTCCAGTTCCTTCAAGGTTGTAACATTGTCCAGTTCGTGTATCGTTGGTAAGGGCTTTACAGCAGCAAGGGCAGCTTCTGACACACCGTTGTCTCCCGAGTAGACCTCTGAGTACTGCTCTACCCACCTGGCCATTTGCTCTTGCTTATCAGTGATGGTGGCCCCTGTGCTGGATTTCAGGGGGGCAGTCCTTCTGATGTTTGGACCAAAGGCTCTCTTGATGCCTTCATACATGGCACGGTTATTGCCCGTGTCAGAGGCGAGTTGGATCCGACTGCCGAGCTTCAGCCGGTATTTGTTGGCAGAGCGTCTGGTGGTCGTTTGAGCTGCACTGTGGGCAGCTTTCAGAGTCCTTAATGATCCTGTACTTGGGGCTGACTTGTACTTAAGGAGCACTGTGCACTTAGTCTGGAGGATCGGTTCCAATACAGCCAGGTGTTCCTCAAACCAGCCCGTGTTCTGCCTTGTCTACTTGCCGAAGGTATTGATGGCTGCATTGAAGATGGCATCTCTGATGTAAGTCCACTTTGTCTCCACGCTTCCATCCGGTGTGTCGTGTAGGGGCTGCTCAAGGCTTGAATGAGCTGTGGGAGGGAGGTCTTGGCACAGTTGATGCGTGGGTCGTGCTTTTGTTTGAGGTGGTGTATCTTTGTGGGGCTCAGTCTGACCTTGCTGAATATCAGTGAGTGATCGATGTCACAGACTGCACTGTGGGAGCTCCGTGTGATGAGGACTGAGTTGTTGTCCACCCCCCCCCCCCCCCCACTTGTGATTAGCAACGGTTGGCTATGTACGGTGCGAAAGAAGTTCAACATACATATGTCACACGCCATGCGCGTAGCCACAAAACCGGAGCATTTCCAACCCTTAAACGTGATCGCCGAGTGCAATAAGTGGCGTGAATACGAAAAGTAACTAAAGTCGTTCTCATTTTACCGTATTCTCCACCTAATAAGGGACATTTTTGTTCGCTGAATTTTAAATACGACAGTCGGAAAATGGGTCGTACCGTCCAAAATGAGACATTCGTCTTCCAGAAGACGTGTCTTCAATCGAGTTGCTTTCGAAGGAACCTGTAGAAGGCACCTGCTCTCACGAGTGTCAAGCGGAGCATACATAATCATGCAATCTCCAGATTTCACCACACACTTTCTTTCCCCATCGTCCGCTGTATGTTACGTAACTTATTATTTTACACCCTCATTTCTCATTCTGCCAGCACGTGGCATTTTACAGTAACTTAGATTTCTCTTGTTCCCCCCCCCCCCATTCCTTCCTCTCTCTGCCATCCCAACTTCAACAACTCATAATTACCCAGCGATGGTGGCGTAGATAAAGTAAACACTTCGGGCACCACATTTCAATGCGGATAAGCGGTGCCAACAGTGGATTGATTGATAGGTTAGCTGTGGATATACAACACGTTGCATAAGCGATGGTCGTGTGTACGTATGTTGAACGCACGTAGGCCAACCGTGCTAATCGTAGATTAGCGTTGGCATTTGGTGGTAACAAAGCACCACGGATAAAATGTAAACAGGGCGCGCGCGTGTTGCCTTATATAACAGGTGGCGTGTTCCTTTGTCCACGGCTCATAATTAAGCAGGCGTACGGGGGCATTGACATTTCCCATACTGAGTTCGAACCGCATCTCAAATGTGTCTAAGGACGTGCATGAAAGGGGGTGGAGGCGCTATTTTTTTTTACGATTCGCTGCTAACACCGAATGCCGTGTTTGCGGCTGTCAGCGTCCGAATCGGCGTCTGCAATCGGTTCGGAGGCGGAATAACCCCGTCGATGAGCTGGAGCCGCCCTGAATCTGACCTTGCGACTGCGGCCCTGTTGCCCTGCAACCCTCTGCTGCGGTTTTAAACACACGCACGTTGGCCATGTTACTGCTACTACTGCGTTTGGCAGCGGTGCACAAATCACGATGAACAACAACGACAACGACAAAATAATTCTAGATTTGAAGCTTTCGTGACTGCAAGGATTCATACTCTTAGGTTTATTCGGTAAAGTCACGTGGGTGAAAATAAATAATAAAAATAATAGAAATAATAATAGAAATAAAAATTGTATTTCTATTATTAGTTATATTATTATTTCTATTACTTTATTATTTATTTTCACCTACGTGACTTTACCGAAAAAACCTAAGAGTAACGACAAAATACATTGGTCAATAATAACGCTGTGAGTATGACATTAAAGAGGAACAAAACGTATGTAACGGGCGACGTTTCGGGCATCAGCCCTTCTTCATAGCACATGTCACGCTATGCTCCTGAGAAAAAAAAAGAGCCTTGCGACTCCAACTATTTTAGATGCATGTGTGTTCAATTTCTTTCGCACCGTACGTAGCCATCCGTGCTAATCGGAGTTGCGGGGGAAGGACAAAAAAGGGTTATTGCCCGAAACGTCGCTGAACTATGTACGTTTCCTTGTAAGGTCACGCACGCGGTTTTCACCGAAGATGACCATCGCGTCGAGTTACGCTGCACTATGGACACTCGCAAACAACTCTGCGTACTTACAAAGACCGCAGCAGCGTGGCTTGAAGCACTGCAAACACCGGCGTAGATAGGACTCGGTACCTGCGGAATGAGGGTGGGGTGGTCACGCGGGCGTCAAAGGTCTGAGCGGTCGAAGGGCTTCGAGACGAAACAGACAATCTCGGTCAACGCGTCGAGAGCTTTGTCAGCCAGGCAGCCTTGAACCCTCTGCGTTGTCGCCCAAGCGTCAAGCCGACGAGGATGCGATAACGGAGTGGCAGCAAGCGAGAGAGAGAGAGAGAGGGCGGGAGAGAGCGAGCAAGAGACCCGCTAGCCACTCCACTCGACGCATCGGTCTGCCGAGCCACAGTTGCGCCACGCGATAACCCCAAGTGGGGGTGGGGGGCGGGTGATGGGGGGGGGGGGTCCTTGTTCGTTTGCGTTTCCAGGGACTTGCAACAGACGGCGTTGCCGCCTACTCCGAATAGGGGGCCCACACGTGCAATCATCTCGCTGGGGTGTGGTTTTGTTTAATAAGGCGGGAACTGGATAAATATTGATAAATCATCGCGAAACAGAACAAATAGTTACAATTCGACGAAAAAATGTGTGAGCCCGCACGGGCGAAGGCGTGGAGCCACGGTGTAAATTTCCACGGGTTTATTTTGCGCGGTGGAAACTTGCTCGAGAGAGAATTTAGTGGCGTTGTTGCGACTGTTTTAGTATCCATACTCTTTGGTTCTTTCAGAAACAAATAAAAGAAAGCGCTTTACTACCTGACGATGGACGCTTGTGTTGCGCCCGAAACGTCGTGATTTATTTAATTTTATTTATACCTACGTGACTTTACCGCTTCAAATCAAGATTGTTTTTGTATCATTGTCCAACGTCCCCAGATGAGCTGTTAATGTCTTCACTTGCGTTCATCGATCGATCATTACGAAACAAAGGCAAAGGTTTCCCGTGAAGCCTTGACAGACTGTTGGGGCAAGTGCTGTTAACGAGTAGCACCTATGCAGGCCGGCACGGCACACTAATCCTCAATAGGTGTTAGCCGTGAGCGGGAATCGAACTCAGATCTCCGAGTTCATAGCGCAGTGCCGCTACACTCCCACGCCCCCCCCCCCAAACACTCCCCCGCCCCCCCAAGCACTCCCTCGCCCAACCCACAAGAATTCCCCCGCCCCCCCCCCAAGCACACCTCCGCCCCCCTAAGCACTCTCCCGCCCCCCAAACCACTCCCCCGCCCCCCTAAGAACTCCCTTGCGCAGTTACAATCTTTCTTGGCCTTGGTCTCCAGTCGTGTGTGCGTGTGTGTGGAGTTTGCATCCTCTTTAGGAGGCTCGTGAAAGACGCTGCTGGGCAGTTGGAGGCAGTCGCCCTCCAACAACAACGGAGGGCGGAGGAGCGACGCTCACAACAACGAGCGGAGCGCCGGGTGGCTAAAGCACAGCAAGTTGGCACAGTAGGGGGCACAGGTGGTGCATCAGCCACTCATCTCAGTCAGTCGACCCGTGGCACCTGCTGGGTCTGCCCCGTGACCCTGCCATCGGGTTTTCGACACTTCACGTGGCCTCAAGGTGCACATAGCCTGGTTCAAGCGTCGTGGTGACGTCACCGCCACTTCGTGGCGAACGGCGGTTGCTGTTGGAGTTTGCATCTTCTTCCCCTGCTCGGCGGAGTGTGAGTGAGCATGCGAGCGAGTGAGTATGTGTGAGGTTGTGTGGAACTTCCATGTTCTCCCCCTGTTCTCTATGTATGTACGTTGAACTTATTTCGCACCGTAACGTAGCCAGCGGTGCCAATCGGAGGTGCGGCTCAGCAGCGTGAATTGTGCGTGACGAGTGAGCGCGTGAGTGGGGAGAAGTCCGTGTGTTCTCCCCCTGTTCGGCATCGGTTTCCCCGGGTTCTCCGGGTTTTCTTGCCATCGCTCAAAAAAAACCTCCTCCATACAATGCACCTTGTATTCGGCTTAAAACATCCAAATGCTGACAAACTGCATCGCAAACAACTCGATTAGGATTACACAGAGGGGCAGTAACATCGCCTCCTGTTGCGGAAACCTGGCAGGACCCTCCTGAAAAGAAAGTAATAAGACTCAATAAGAAGTTGCTGGTAAAAAAGAGAGTACTACTTATTATTACAATAATACTAATAAAATCGAGCACGTGTTTGTGTTCCAATGGCAACCGCTCGCACAAACCGCGCCCAGTGTGACGTGGCTCATTGTGACATCACCAAGCCCCGCCCATCACCTGCCGTCGAGCGGCGCACGTGGGAAAATGGGGGTGATACTTTCCTCCAATTATCTCGGTGAATATCCGCGGGTAGTTGAGAAATCGAACCGATACCAGGCAGAGCAATCGCCTGTGTGGAAGAATTGGGCAGCCCAGCTGCCGACTGCATGAAGAAACCCCATCAGATACAAAAATCCAAAATTAATTTAAGCTCATTCCAGGCGAGAGAAAGAAGCATCTCCGTTTATTCGACGTCCGACCAACACTTTTTTTTTGTTGGCACGGCGTCTAAAAGCAGGGTGCGCTTCGCGTGGCTAAAGAGACGTGGGGTTGAAAGTGACCTCAGTCGTAGTTCTGCGGCGTCCTTCTTCGAGGGACCACCCTGCGACACAGCGTGGTGCACTGCTCGCTGCGGCGAGTTCCGGACGAAATTGTCGAAGCCACCCCCCCCTTGCCCCCCCCCTTGCCCCCCTCCTCCTCCTCCGGTAGCTGATTTGGAGTGCGCAACAAAAAACCTCTCTAAGCCGGGCTCGAGTAAAACCGGGATTGCGGTGAGTCGGGAAAGCTCACCCCCCCTCTCCTTAATAAACAACGATATGCAGAGTATAAGTTATTAATCTTTATATTCTTGGTTCTTTCGGTAAAGTCACGTAGAAGGTAAATAATAAAATAATAAAATAATATGTTTTTTTTTCTTTTATTATTTACCTTCTACGTGACTTTACCGAAAGAACCAAGAATATGAATCCCTGCAGGCACGAAAACTTTAAATCAAAATATATGAATCTTTGTAATCTTTGTAGCTCTACACGGTCACCTGAGCACAGGCGCAACAGTCGTCGACAATGCCGAGCGGCCGGCAACAAACGGCGCCGTCAAACATTGCAATATACTAGAGTGCAACTCGTTTCTCGCATTGAGCGAGGTGGGGAGGGGTGACGAACGATTGGAGTGGAATTGCGAAGTGGAGCGGTGCGAGGGAAGAAGCAGACAGAGGAGTGTTGTGACCTGCAGAGTGGTGAGTGGGTGAGTGAGTGCATGACTGATGTGGTAGGTGAGTGGGTGGGCGAGTGTGTGAGCGAGCGATTTGGTGGGGCGAGTGGGTGGCCCGGTGAGTCGAGGAGTGGGTCTATAAGTGGACGGATGAGCGAGCAGGTGAGAGTGGGTGAGGGCGTTGTTGTGGCCTGCGGTGTTGCTCGTCGTGATGTGTGAACACAGGGTGGTGGATGGGACGAAACAGTCGGTGGCTGCTAGAGACCGAGTCCTCTTCACCCGTGAAGGAATCAAGGAGCGAAGTTGACAGGAACCACATCCATGGTTGGCGCAGCGTGGGAGACGTGGTCTAAATAATCAACGATGATTTTGATG